AGAAACCGGTGGCCAAAGCTCAACACTCCTCGGATTCGAGCGTGTTCGGGCGGCGGGCGTATTTCCGCACCGAGCTCCAGAATCCCGCGATCCTCGTGATCAAGGACATCAAGAGGCACGACGCGGCCACGTACAGGTGCAGGGTCGACTTCAGGAAGGGGCAGACGCGCAGCTTTCGCTACAGCCTCATCGTGATCGGTAAGATTTACTTTCGTCGATCGTTTAAGAGTTACAGAAAAATGGCGCCATTCCTCTTTGGAAAAAGTTTTCGATCAAGACGAAAGCGGCCGTAATTTCAAACAAATTTAGTCGAAAGGGGATGGAAGGTGATCTTGTTCGAGGAGTAGTAGCCGAGGAGGATTATTTATACGATCTCGCAACTAACGCGTTAACGTTCTTCTTCTTCTTCCTCTTCTTCTTCTTCTCGTCGAGAATGTTGCCAGCATTTCCACGGTACGCGGACAAACACATGCTCCACTTAGCAGAGTCGTCGTCGTCCTCCCCTTTACACTCTCGACGTCGAGTGAAAAGTGCAGTTCTCAGCTGGCTCTAAGTCTGCTCAAACAAATGGCGGCCGTTGAAAAATTCATGAGCCAATCGAAGACGCCTTCCACTTCCTCTTCTTAGATTTTATCGTCGTGCATCTCTGCTGTTTACGCTTTTCCCTTTAATCCCGGAAACGTGACCGCGAGTTAAAAAACTATACAGATTTCTCTGGAGAAATTTCTTCGATTTCGACGATTCAATTCTCGCGGAAAAACGGATCGATAGATCGAGATGGAGGGGCAAACGAACTTTCACGGCCGCTCTCTTCAAACTCGTCCCGATATATATATACGTAGCCCGCGGCTGGGGATATAATCTTTGCTGCCGATCCCCCATCTAGGGTCGAAGGTCGGAGAAAACGGACAATGAGAGAGAGAGAGAGATATGTCTGTCTCTCTTCGTTCGTAACATCTTTGGATATTTTTGCTGGCGGTTTAACGAGTTCGATTTTTATTTTATGGGAAACTTAGACGGTTGCGCGCGATATTCTAAAAAAGGGTCACGAAAAAGGAATTGGCCCGGGTGGGGAAAATCGTTGGAGCGAGGTATTTTCATCAGAGGAGATTGGTTCCCAAGAGTCGCTAGATTGCGTCCGTCCACTGGATTTTCCTCCTTCCGCCTCCCCTTTTATCGGTCATTTCCCTTTCTTTCATATCCTGTTCCCTTACCTTATCGCCGATGATATTCGATACGAGTATCCATCCGACTACTTGTTTCTCGTGTTCCAGCAAACTTGAAACTTTGTTCCTTCGATCGAGTTTCCTTCGTCTCTCTCTTTCTCGAGCTATTGTTTCCTTTCTTCCTCTCGCAACGTTTCATGGAGTGGCCATTTTTTCCCTGCTGGTTTGCTCGCAGTTTTGGATGCCAGGGTAGAAACGTAAAAGGAAGCTATATTATAATATTATAATATATTCTCGCGGAAAAGGTTACAATCGTTCGGAGGGAATTTAATAACGGCGCGTAATAAGGAGGGGAAGTACGATTATTTCTAACAGAGAGAGGTGGCGAGGAAAGCCACTCAACGTGTAACTTAGTCTGCAAATTGCATCGCTGCCGGTTGCAAGCCGGTATTAAAGAAGGGAAAGAATGTGCTCAACGGTGGGCGCAATTTTCCATTAAACCGGTCGTCGTCGCGCTGTTTTCGTCGTCGCGGATTCTGAAAAAGAAAGAAAAGAAAAAGGCCGATTGGTGTTCCCAAGAAGCATCTTTTAAAAAGCTTGGATTATCGAAGCGCGTATTAAGCTCGTGTTATCCCCTGTCGAGAATCGAAGAAGAAGAAAGAAAAAAAGGGGTCGTCGTCCCCCCTTTACATTACAAATGGATTCTCTGGATGCGGGGGAAGAAAAACAAAGGAACGTCGTATGTGGAGAAAGTTCTCCGTGAAACTTCCACGGATAGAAGTTAAGAGAGAGAGAGAGAGAGAAGGTTGTTCACGAGGGAGGTGGAGATGGAAAATTGTAAAAGATGGGAGCGGAGAAGCGGTTGGAAGGAAGAATAGAGGATCTGCCCTCGTTAAGGAAATAATCCGCGGCTTAATTAAATACAGCGCAATTAGTTCTGCTTCTATAGCTGGATGCTGGCTGTGTCTCTCGGGTCCATCGCGAAATCCCACTCGAAGGAGAGAGAGAGAAGCCATATCTCCCCTCCTTTTCGAAAACGTTTCGAAGCTTCCTTCCTGTCATCTTCGAGTCGAAGAGGAATCTCGTCATCGAAGGAGAAATTGGAGCGGATTAGGAGGCGGCCGAATTAGAAATTCAAAAATCCACGCGGAACTTTCGACGTTAACTCTCAGTCAAAGTCGAGGGAGGGAAGAGCGGCGCATAGAAATGGGGCTGGGCTGGACAAACCCCGTCGTTAAGTTTTCCCTTAATTAACCTCCCTCTCTCTCTTTCTTCCCCCTTAACCTTCCTCCTTTTATTCCCCTTTCTTTCGCCCCTTCCTTTATTCCTTCCGTATTTCACCGCATCTTCCTCCCTCCCTTAAATTTGCATTAACCTTCCTCCTTCCCTTCCTCCGGGAAACTCACCCCGTCCGCGAAAAGATCGCCCCAAAATCGCGACTTTAACGAAACATATCGACGTCCGATATAAAGGAAAGAGCAGAAAAGGAAATGATTATTCGAATTATTGAAAAGGAAGAGGGGATGTGGTTTCTGAGATTGAAAAAGGAGGAGGGGAAGCATCGTCGGTGTCCCGGTTAAATAACTCTTCTTTATTCCAACGAGCGGCAATTTCACTTGAAAAGCGTTGAGCAGCAATTTTTTCCGGGCTTTTTACCACCCACATGCGCACACGCTTCCCTGCCCCCGTACGTACGTACGATACGTAGAACGGGAAGTTTGTTCCCGAGGTCGGCAACCCTTTTCCCAGCCGAGGCAGGTGTAGGGTTATGTTCCACGCGCCGACTAATGGAGAAAAATAGTAAAGTGAGGGAAGGGAGAGGGGAGAGAAAAAAAGAAAAAGTTGGACGCATCGGCCACAGTGGATGGCTGGATAGCGCGTAATCGAGCCTCTCCGCGGCGAGAATAATTAACCCCTCCTCCACCCCTGTCCTCTTACACCAACCGTATAAATTGAATCGCGAGTGCTTTCCCCTTTCTCCTCTCGATAACACTCCACGGCTAACTAGACTCTCCACCGACGGATGCAGCTAGCAAATCGAATCGATCCACGCGCTTCCTTCTTGAGCGGACGAGGGAAAGCTGATTTTCGCAAGCTTGGCGGCCAAATGAAAGGGGTCAAGTCGTGAGAATTTAGTGACCATTTCGACCCTGCTGTCGCATCTTTCGCAACTGGAAAATTGGAAAGACGGCCCTCTCTGCAAATTTATTCCGCTGGTATTCCAGGGTATTCGTTTAGAAGCGAGATTATCGGCGAATTCGAGCAACAACGGTTTGAATTTAGAGAAGAGGAGGAAAGGAGGGGTTGGAGAGAGGATTGTGGGAAATTTTTAGATTTTTCTTGGCGCTGAATAAGGGAGAGGGAGGAAGAAGGGGAAGATGGACGACGGGGTTCCATAGGTTGGAACAACTGCAGCTGGAACTGCGCAATAAAGGGAGAGACGTCTTAAATCCTGGCGAATATACTCCCCGCTATCTCGGCCGAGCAGATTAAAACCTGCATGTTGCGTGCATCGCGAGGGGAAGGGAAGAGAAAAGGAGAAATCGTTTTGTGATTTTATCGGCGGGCGGGGGAAAAAAAATACCATCTGCTCGATAGCACGTAATTATCCAATTTCTATGCGGCCAATTCAGAGGTATAAATTGGAGCATATACCGGCGGATAAATTTAAACGAGATCGTATTCATCGTTTACGAGAATAATCTCGCAAGAGTTCTTACAGCACATTAACGCGTAAAGAAACGAAATTTATCGAAATTTCGTGCGATATTTTACGTGTCAATAAGTACTTTTCCTTTTAACTCTTTCATTGCACAATTATTCGTTTCGCCAATTTTGTCATCCATTTGGAATTGTTCTTATTCTTCTTATTTCATCCCTATGCTTTACGAATAAAAAGTAATTTTATCGATAACGAAAAATTCTATTATTGTCCAACTTAAGATAAAAAACGCAGCCATTCAACGACATATTATTCTACACCTCGTGTAGATTACACGTAAGGGTAACCTGTTCACGAATATTCCAAACAACGTCTGTCTGCGACGTTGCACACTCGACTTGTAACGCTCGAAAACATCTCTCCCAATTGCGAAATCTACAAGTAGAACCCTGTCCGACAAAGCGCTATATCGGTTAAACGGCGGCAGGGGGGGGGGATATTTCGTTGAAGTAGTTTTACAGGAATGCGGCACGATTTCCGGAACACCCTCCGACGACGCTTACTCCGCGCGATCTTGGCTTGGTGAACTATGCGCGCGCCGACGACAGAGTTGCGGGCTAACAGGGCGTTGGAACGAGCGAGCGTTGTCACCCGCCGTGTGATAAACTGCCGGCCGCTAACTACGCGAATTATTCCAAGCGGAGAGAGTCGGCTGCCGACGCTAGTTCCTCAAGAACTTTCCCCTCCCAGATTTCGAGCCTTCTCCTTCGAACGAAATACACCACTTCCTTTGTTCCTTCGAACAGAAGCGTTAGCCGAACGACGAGTGCGTTCACTTTTTTCCTTTCACCTTTTCGAAAAGGTTCATCGAGTTCCTCTTCTCATTTTTTCCCCCATATCTCTAAAGAAAATAATCAGGTTGGACGAGAGTAGTAACAAGGATACAATTTAACGATATCGAGAGAATCGTGAGAAGGAGAATAGAATTGGAAAAGAAACAGAAGAATGAGAGAGTTCCTCTTTTCATTTTTTCCCCCATATCTCTAAAGAAAATAATCAGGTTGGACGAGAGTAGTAACAAGGATACAATTTAACGATATCGAGAGAATCGTGAGAAGGAGAATAGAATTTGAAAAGAAACAGAAGAATGAGAGAGTTCCTCTTTTCATTTTTTCCCCCATATCTCTAAAGAAAATAATCAGGTTGGCCGAGAGTAGTAACAAGGATACAATTTAACGATATCGAGATGTGTCCAGAAGAAGAATAGAATTTGAAAAGAAACAGAAGAATGAGAGAGTAGTAACAAGGATACAATTTAACGATATCGAGAGAATCGTGAGAAGGAGAATAGAATTTGAAAAGAAACAGAA